AAAATAAAATAAAATAAAATAAAATAAAATAAAATAAAATAAAATAAGAGAATCCCGTGGCAGCTATTCTCACCAAAAACCAACCCTACCGGCGAGGGTCATTTTTAGCAATGCTAGGATTTACCGCACAAAAAACGTCATCCAGCTTGTCACATTGCTCGTGCAAGGTGCCCCTGTGTGCAGAGCACTGTTGATCAGTGTTTCTCAGTGAGGGTGCCTTTGACATTTGGAGCTGGGCAATTCTTTGTTTACAGAAATGTTCCCCACGTTGCAAGACGTTTAGTATCCTAAGCCCCTTCTAACTAAATGCCAGTAGCATGCCCAGTCACTGTAAAACCAAAAGTCAGAAGCCCTCCCCAGTGTTCAAATGCCCTCCTAAGGCCATACCACCTTCCATGAATACCCCTGTCTAGTGCGGTTTGAGGACACACAGGGAAACTACCTATTTAAAATATTGTCCTGAGTGCCTTGCATTACTTTGGGCCCTGAACAGTTTCCTTCCCTTTTATTTTTCAAGGCTTCTGCTCCACAGAAGCTTTAGTTTGCCAGTTCTTCAGGGAGGAGGTTGTCTGGCAGCCTTGGCAGTTCGAGCGGGCATAGTCACTTGGCTGGTCCCTCTTCTGTTCAGGAGAAATTTCAGATGAAGCAAAGTTTCTCCTCGGTTTTGGTCTCACAGTTTCAGTTCAGAACTACACTGTTGATCACAATCTTTGTCAGTGTCATGAGGATTGAATTGTACGGCTTAATACACAACTAACAATCCACATAAACAAAGCCTGTGGTCCATGAAAATCACCAGTAGATTTCACCTGGTAAGGTACATCCCTTGAGTTACAAAGTAGTCACCTCTTTCCCCTCTTAAAAAAGCATTTAATCTACATGCGAATGCTTGAATTCTCCCTGTATAACCATAGTCATGCAGTTCAATTTTACTAAAATTCTGAAGTATGAAGGAAGTGTGGATTAACTGGATGGCATATGTATTGTTCCTACTTCGATGATGGTCATACACGAAACAAGATGAATTTTACCTAGGTGAAACATTATTAAACTATGCGAACGATACATAAACATACTTATTCTCTGTCACTTTTTATCACCAAAACTGAGTAGTAAATATGTCCTGAAATAATATGCATGAATGGTGGCTTATAGAATGGAATAATTTAGCCACTAAAAGTTTTTTAAATATTAAAATTTCTAAATAATCTTTTTCGAGACAGAGCAACTCAGAGTCGATAAAGGTGATTATATTGTGAAGATTTAGATGGTGCTTAAGAATTCTTAGCTTGTTAAATACCAGTATTTTTTTTTTCTTTTTAAGAATAAATTAAAGGGAGTAAATGAGGCAGAATGCCACTGCACCCTCAGGTCAATTTCATGGTATATATTAAAATGCCAATAATATTTGTGCCACTTGCCAATTTAGGGGACTTTTCCCTTCCTGGATGCTTTTATTATAGTTTGTATCATTACATTGCTTCGAGAGCCTTCACAAAGAGATGTCACCATTGCAGTGCTAACTAGCATTTGAAAACAATCCGAATAAATCTAGGGTCAGACCACTTTCATTACTTAAAATATAGGCACTAATTTTTTTTTTATTTTTTTTAATATTTCTTCTGTGGCTTAGAAATGTGCCAGTGTTCCAAACATTCTGCACCAGTTTCACCAGATGTAGTACCTAGCAAAAACCTAACCTGTCATTTTTTTCTGTGTTAATAGTGACCTTCAAATAAAGCACTATATGCATTCTTTTGTTATTTCAAGCTTTGGTTTAAGTGGTTAAGAGTGGTAAGCTGTGATCATTATCAGACTGACTGAATGATTCCTGATTTCCAGTGAGTGATCTAATTCTGCATATGACACAGGTACAATATCTGTGAGTTGTAAATAACTGGAACTATACACTGATTAACATGACAGTTTCTCTTTTTGTTGTTGTTGTTCTTGATCTGTACTGTATTATAGTATGTGGGTAGAAATACCTCCAAGTATACACAGATATGTATATGTATTCCACTATTGCAACCTGAAAGACAGACTATGTATTATCTTTTTTTATTCCTTACTGGTGTTTGTGTTATTTAAAAAGCAAAATTATGCTCTACTTAGTTGTATAATATTATAGGATACTTTGCTGTGCACAATTCCAAGTGCCTTAGAACATTGTTTAGCTTTCTTAAGTATATATAAATGCATATATGTATAAAATTGGGAAAAGTTACCTCAATAAAATCATTGGGAAATCCCCAACTTTAGTTTCTTCCAATTCTATTGTATTGAGATAGTGCTCGGTATTTTTTAATTAAAAGCTCACTGAGTTCTCCCCTGTAAAGCAAAAATAAGATAGTTCTTCTAATTGTTTATTATTCCAACTGCACCTAACTCAAAGATTTCTGTATGTAAGGTTTTGTGATTTGTACTTTTTATTTAAAATATCTAAGAATTACTGCGCGAAACAGCAACTTACAGTATATTTTTAAAACTTGCTTTTTTTTTTATATCTGAGGATATTT